GCCCGCCACCCGCCGCCCCGGCGCGCCCCAGCGCCCCCTCCCGGGCCCGAGCGCAGCGAGCCGTACTGGCGTCCAGCGGGTCGCACACGGCGGAGTAGCCAGGCGGCGGCGCGCTCTTGTCCACCACGACGGCGACGTCCACCACCACGTTGTCCTGCGGGTTCTGCGGAGGGCGCGGGGTCAGCGGTCGCGGGAGAGGGCGCGGAGCGGGAGGGCGGGCGGCGGCGGCGGGGCCCTACCTCGAGGCTGCCCAGGGGGCTGAGGCACAGGAAGTGTCCCGACTTCTGCCCGAAGCTCTTGCCGAAGCTGGCGGGAGCCCCCTCGACGGTGCAGGAGATCTGCGGGGTCGGGGACGCGGTCAGCCCAGCCACCCGCCCGCCCGCCCGCCCGCCCGCGCCCCCGCGGCTCACCGCGCTGAATCCCCGTGGCGGCGGCGCCGAGGCCGACGACCAGGCAAGGCCGGCCAGCGGCACCGCGTCGGGCCCGGGCGCGGGCTCCATGCTCCTGGCTGAGCGCGGAGAAGGCGGCCCGCTCCGGAGCTCCCGAGCTTCCCGGAGATGAGCGCCGGCAGGACTGACTACAGCTCCCAGAAAGCCCTGCGAGGGCGGGGGCCGGAAGCGTGTGTGCGCGTGCGCCGTGGCTGGGCCCGCCAGGGGCCCGCGAAGCCACGCCCCGCGTCGCCCAGGTGCGCAGGTGTACGGCGTGGGCGGAAAAGGCCTGCCTGCGAGTTTGCTCGCGCCCACCAGCTTCCCCCGGAAAATCGCAGCCGTGAGCTCGTGTAGCCGTGAGAACTGCAAGCCCGGAACGCCTTGCGGCCCTAGCCCGCAAAACTGGAGAATGCGAGAAACTCAATTTTAGTTGTAGGAAGTCATGCTAAAGGGAATGATCACAACTTGCACAGCTGTAATTTAAGTGATAAAGAGTGGGCCAGCATGAGCTATAAAAACTTGGGTATAATTTTAAGACGTGTGCACTGACCCAGTTAAGTGTGGAAAGGAGGTATGGCCAGCTGCAATGACGACTGCATAAGAGAAGTCGTTTGAGCCAGCTGTGAGTGACCGCAGGAGGGAACAGAGATGGAACCTGTCCTCAAAGAGGGCTCGAAGAAAAACTTGAGAGGGTTGTGATGAGCAGAGAAAGGTGTTCATAACCATGCTCAGCGCCGCATAGGGAGGGCAGGCAGGGGAGCCCCGGTCCCCACTCCGCGACGCCCGCTCGCAGCATATAGTCGGCACGCAGGGCTGCGGGGGCCGCTCCCGTCCATCTCCATGGTTTCCAACTTGAACCTGCATCCTGGGAAGCTCTCTCTGGAGCCGTGACAATGGGAAGGCAGGTGCAGGAAGCCCAGGTAATGGCTCCTTTTCCCAGCTCCCTGCATTTCCCAGAAGACATGCCTGGCTCTGTGAGGGGCCACAGTACCAGGAGCGACTCAGACAAGTGCAGCTGGGCAAGGGCCGAGTTTATCAGAGGCCACTTACGGAGCAGCGGCCTGGCAGGCTGTAGCGCCATGCTAGTTTCCCCCTCCTCAGAGCACCAATTCAAGTGCCAGAGGCAGGGTCCCCGCACAAGGCTCCACTTCCCACCCTACCAGGAACTGGAGGCCTGAGGGAGCCCTGTCCTGCGCGTGGGGTGCCCAGGTCACGCTGCGGTCCGACATGCAGCACCAGGCAGCTTGTCTGGCTGTCCAGGGTCACTACAGGAGGTTGATACCATGACCAGGGTGCAGAGGACTGTGCCCCACTCCCCGATCCCTGCCCAGCTCTTGCAGTCTTCCTGCCCTCTTCTGAGGTGTCCCTGAGCCTGGAGCGGACATCACTGCCCGTTCACTGAGCTGAACACAGGCCTGTTCTGCAACAGTGACAAGACAGACCCCAACTGTGGATGCTCACTCCTAAACAGACACAAATGTCAGTAATAAGTATGTGTCCCCAGTAAGTGTGCACGGGATAGGGCTCATCACCAGCTCGCTTTCACCTATGCTACAGAAAGGAAGATCCTGTTGGAGCTCTGGGGCCCTGTGAAGTTCCCACTGCAGGCTCACTTGAATGGCTCCGACAAGTTCCCTGCACGACCAGTCAGGGAGCAGCTCCCTCCGCTGTGGTCAGCAGCAGCAGCGCAGACCCCAGGTGGACAGACACTGACAACACCCATGGTTGGGGCTTCAATGAGCTCAGCAGGTGGCAATTCGGCTACATAACAAGATAGCAGTGGCCTCCCTGTGGGGCCTCTAACTCCACAGCTTTGCTTTAGGACCCACATCCAAGTATGCGTCCCCTCCCTGGGGGCAGGCTTGAGGTCCAATAGCAGGGTAGCTGGTGGCACCCAGAAGACCACAGCTACATCCTGCGTGGCACGCTGACTGTGACCGGCAGGGTCCGAGGGTGACAACTGGCTCCTCCCAGGCAGCCCTCTGTGTCCTCTGCACTACCATCCCCAACCAGGAGGTGGCGGCTTCCCCCTGCATCTTGCTCGTTTCTCTGTGTCCTGGAGGCCCAGCAGGTGGCGTCCTCAGGTAGAGACTCCAGCCTGCTGCGGACAGCGGTGGGAGCCTGGGTGGCCTGGAACTCCTGGGGAGGCGCCCCAGCCCTGTACCGGGATTTCGCCTGACAGTATCCAGAAGGTCCTCCTAGCCTAGGGACCTGCGGGAAGCCGCGCATTCGCGGTGAGCGGCAGGCAGAAAATTCCTTGAGGGATGCTCTGCTCATGGTTTATACCGTTTGGCATCTACTGCGGGGCTTGGTCAGGGGTGTCCTGGGCAGTCCCCTCCTAGAGGGACTTCTTGCAGGGAGACATGAAAGCGCTCATCCCAGTGGAAGGCTCACCTCTGGAGCTGGCACCAGGTCAACTGCCTGGACAGGACTGTAGGCCTGTGGCTCAGGCCAGCGGAGCAGACTCACGGGGCAGAGCCCTGGGTTCATCTTCCAAGTGCAGCTGCACAGGTTCTTCCTATGCAACCCCCTAGTTTCTCCACTTTGTGGCAGGCATAATCAAAATTATGACAGAAGTGACTTGGCTTTGAGTTTATACTTCTCAGCCCTCAGCAACAGTATTTTGCTTTGTTTTGTGCTGGGTTCTCATTGCAGCATGCTCTTGTGGTCCCTGGTTTTATTTTGTTCTCTGGTGCCTGGAATGGAGCCCAGGGCCTTCACACGGAGCTCCCTCCTCAGCCCTTTTTAAAAATCTTGACACCAAATCTAAGTTGCTTAGACTGGGCTCTGACTCACAGCCCTCCTTAACCAGCACTGCGCCACCATGCCTAGCAGACAACACAGTTTTAAAAGGAAGACATGGAGGGCCGGGGGGATGGCTCAGTGGAAAAGGAAGACATGGAGTAAAAACAACCTTAGTTGCTGGGTGCAGTGGCACACACCCGTTGTCCCAGCACTACAGAGACTGAGGCAGGAAGATCACTGCCAGTTCAAGACCAGCCTAGGCTACAAAGTAAGCTCAAGGCCAGCCCAAGGTGCACAGTGAGACCCTGTCTCAAAAAGACAAAAAGAAAGAAAGACCTTAGTTTGCAACCAAGAAACATCAATTTTTACCAAATTTTTAAAAAGCCGTTTGTCTGAAGCTCTGGCTGCACTCTTCTCCATGAATCTGAGCACAAATGCCTTCGAGAAGAATCAGACTGGAGGAGCCGCAGAACGCCAAGGTTAGGCCTGCGAGGAGAGCGCTGCAGGTGATGATTCGGCTCCATTAGGACAGAGTCTCACACTACAGCCAAAAGGCTTCCCCACGAGACCACACCCCCATACCACAACAGCGCTGCGTCTCTTCTGTCACCCTCAATGACTACAGGCTATCCTCTTTCTCTGTCAAAGAAAAATCTGGAAAGTCAAATTGCTAGCCAAGTGTGATAGTGCATGACTGTAATTCCAGCACTCGGGAGGCTGAGGCAGGACTGCCATAAATCTGAGGCCAGCCTGGGCTACGTTGTGAGTTCAAGGCTAGCCTGTACTACTTAGCAAGTCACTGTCTTATAAAGTCAAAACCAAAACACAACGGAAAAAAAAATTGCTGTAGTTGAAACATGGAAATGATCTAAATTTAGTTTTATGTGAAAATTCTAAGGATGAGAAATAATAGGGTAAAAAAATAAAGTAAAACTAAAATTTTAATTGATAAAAAGGAGAGTTAAATCAAAATTATGACAATAAAAATTACTTGGCTGGAGGGGGATCAGTGGGGAGCCGACGGCGCTGATGGGCCCCTCGGGAAGTGGACGGCTCGCTCGATGGCACGACGCGAGGGGCAGGCGGCAGCGGCTCCGCTCCCACGCCGCTACCCTGCGACCTCTTCTGCTGCCACGGCCCGTGAAGTGCCAACCTGCGTGCCCTGCACGGCCGCCCTGACACACCGACAGTTGCGTGTAGCCGTCTTCGCGCCCGCGCGGCAATGAACTGTCCCCCCGCCCCCGCCAAGACTAGGCGTGGTGGCGCGCCCTAATCCCAGCACCTGGGAGGCTGTAACTGGAGGAGCTACAGAGCTAAGACTCCGATCTATGCACTGAGACTCCGTACACCCAGTCCGAAAAAGACAAATAAATAAACTGTCTCCCACACACACACGCACAGACATAGCTGCGTGAAAGGGTTCTGCGTGCCTCCGCGCCGCAAGCCCGCAGTCGGTTGGCACAAAAGGTCTCTGCGCCTGCGTGCCCCTTCATCTCTTACCCGCTTTTTGAAAGTCTTGACCTGTATCTGGCCTGGCCTCGAACTAGGGTTTTTAACCCCTCTTCAACATGCTGAGCTTTTTTAAAATTTATTTATTTGTGTGTGTGTGTGTGTGTGTGTGTGTGGCCAGCTCAGCCCACCAGGGGGCGGGGCTGGCTGGCATGTGGTGCTGGGGACTGAACCACGGTCCCTTTGCTTTGGCTAAACTTGTTCTAAGTAGGTGCTTTAGACCACTGAGCCATCTCACCAGCCCAGCCATCTCACCAGCCCCATGCTGAGCTTTCTATTGGACTCTGGATGGGTGGCCCCAGAAATAGACTGAGTCCCCATTTTTTTTTTTTTTTCAGTGTCTCGCTCTGCACCTCAGGCTGGCCTTGAGCTCACTCTTTAGCCCAGGCTGGTCTCGAACTCGCAACAATCCTCCTGCCTCAGCCAACTGACCGCTGGGATGACAGGCGTGCGTCCCCCGCCCTGCTCTTGAGTGCCTGTCTGAGGGTTGCAGTTGTCTTGGCACCTGCTCGCCGTCTGGGAGGCAGCAGCTTGCTGGAAGCCCTCGGCCTCACTTCTGCACCTGCAGCTTTCTTCTGAGCTCCAGGAAGAAGAGGTGCCTATGGCCATCTCAAGGCTGCCACCTCCTGGGACGAAGCCGCTGGGCCTGGCAGGCAGGTGAGGTCCTGCTGCTGCTGCTGCTGCCGCTGCAGGAGCTTCAGGGTTAGCCCGGGGTGGGCTTCCCCTGCTCCTCCTGGGGTGCTGCCTTCAACCAGCCTGGAAAAGAGTCAGGGCCTCAGGATTTCCAAACAAAAATCCCTTTGCATTGTACCCAAGCAAGCAAAGCTGGCTATGCTCCCCTGCTCACTCTGCCCCTTAGCTTTAGATGTTAACTACGGGGCTGCCTGCTCCGCCCCAGCTTGGCC